AGCGGCCGTCGCCCGGTCGAGGAAGAGGTACCGACCGGACGGGGGCGAGGCAGCAGCAGGGTGAGCGGGAGCAACGGCACCGTCCAGTCCTTTCGCTCCCTCTTCAGGCTCAGCAGCTGCCTCGGTGTCGAGCCCAACCGCCCCCGCCTCAACCTCCGGAGTGGAAGGAACGCCGCCACCATCAGCATCAACCGCAGCCCCAAGAGGCGACTCCGCAGGAGGCGACTCCGCAGGAGGCGAGACATCAGAAAGTGACTCTGGTGGCTGAACCTCCTCCTCCTGCCTCTTTTGCTCATCCTCGCCCTTCCCCTCCACATCCTGCAAAACGCTCGGAATGACGAGGCTGCTGCCGTTGGCGGCGATGGTGCACACCTCGGTGTACTTCGGGCACTTGAGCTTCCCACCCTGCAGATGATCATTTGACACAACTTCAATTACACTTCCCTCGGGACACAGCACAAACTCATTGGCGCCGAGGTACTTCACCTTCACTGCACCGCCCTCACAATGCACCTCTGCGCACACGCCTTCGATTTTCTTACCGCCGCTGTTTTCCACCTGCAGCGCCTCCGCGTCCAGGCACCACGAGCCACTCCCAATCAGCGACCCTGGAAGGGTCTGCTTACTTCCCTCCACACACGCATTGGATGATTTCTGAGACGATGCGCTGTAAAATCTCGTCGAAATGACGTGGCATACGTCTTTCTCGCTCACACTCCCCTGGAGGTCAACGACGTATGCGGTGCACGTTCCGACGTGAAGACGATCAGAAGAGCAGCGAAGCGTCGTGTTGTCTTTCTCATCGCAGAACATGTGAGAGTAGTTGATGGCAGCTTTCATGTCCTTGCACTTCTTCGTCAGGAAGTCGCAGCCGGTGTTGCTGCCCCACGCCATCGGCTCCGCCATGCTCCAGTTTACGTGGTAGTAGCCCAGGTCGGCAAACACCGCCATCGTCAGTGCCGTGTAGTAGCCGGCACCGACTATGGGGGCCATCAGTTCGTCCCGGGCACTGCGTTCCTCCCAATGAGGCATCTTCCGTTGCGCGCTGGCATCGTCGTTCTCCAGCTCCATGCCATTCAGAGAGGGGCAGTTGAAGTGCGCTGACGCCCTCGCTCGAACGTTTTCTCCGACCACCATCTTGCGCTGTACTCCACGCCCGGTCGGCTCTGACTTCACTATGCCCTTCTGATTCATTGCCTCGTAGCTGAACCCAAGAGCATGCGCAAGCCCGCGTGCAGCGACGCGAACGCTCCATGCCGAGGCAGTCAGGTACACCGGGTTGAATTCCATGATGCCAACGGAAGGGCGCAAGTCAGTCAACGTGGCACACGTGGCCGCCCACACCGGAATGTCGTAGCTGAGCGGCCCAGCAGCAGCGTAGATGACCATGTCGGCACCAGTCACACCATCCCTAATGTGTTCAGTTGGAATTGTAAAGTGCTGGCACAATCCTGTAAAACCTCTTGGTCAGAGTTATTTTGTCAGCCATCGGCTTGACAAGGAGCCGCTCCGCGTGCAGTTTGACGGCTTCAGGGATAATCGTCTTTTCGTACAGTTCCTTCTTTTGTTTTGTCAATACATGCTCACTTTTGCACGTTACTTTGTGCCCCAAGTAATTAGTGTAGTCTTCCCCGGCATTTTCGCAATACCTCTTCCCCCCCCTCCTCCGACTATCGTTCTTCAGATCCTCCATAAAGACCCTGATGCGGATGGGCTTCCAGTCACCTTCATCTTCCTTTGTGGTGGCGGTGTACGCCTGCATCGTGCCCTGTCCCTTGCGCGGCAGCTCACGCACCACCGCAGTCGGCAGCGGACCTCTTTTCCGCATCACCTCGTCGAAGTTGCAGCGGTGCCTCAGGGCGGAAGCGGCGGCGAGGCACCCACCGGTGCAGTGCATCGCCAACAGCAGCAGGAGCAGCACCAGTGGGATAAACGGCGCGAGGCAGCGCGGCCGACGCATGGCTTGAGAAAAGCGTGTGTGTGTGTGTGTTGGTTTGTTGACAATAGCTGTATTAGTAGTAGAAGCAAGTGCCTTGTACGCAAGATGAGAAACGAAAAGCACAAGGAGAGGTTTTGGTACCAGTGACGTGTGGGAATGTATGCCACGCATTTCTTCAGCGCAGCAGCACGCCCAAACTCCGCAACTCAGCACACCTAAAACACCAAATAATAATAATAAAAAAAAGATTGTGCATTGCAAGGCGAAGCAACATATATATATATCCCACCACAACCATCTTCTCCCTTTCGCGCACAGTTCTTGCAAAAAAAAAACGAAAAAAGAAAAAAAGAAAAATAAAGACCCATAGTGTAACGAATGCGGCAACGAAAGCAGTCGCCCTTGTCCGTCAGCGGAACAGGCACAGATCCACTCACGCCCCCATTAGAGTAGAGTTAGTTCCCCTTGTCCTGCCCGCATCAGCAGAGGTGTGCGTACATGCAATACTGGAGTCAGTCCCTTCGTTCAAAGTGATTTTTTTTTCGCTACA